GGCGCGGGCAGCCGCGCGCCGCCGCCGGCTCGGCCCCCGCCCGGGCGCCCCCGCGCCACTTCCCGCGCCCGCCGCTGCCCCTTCGCCTCGCCTCCCCCACCCACCCCGCCTCCTGCCTTTCCCTCTAACTTTCCTTTCTCCTCCCTCCGTCCTTCCTACTTTTCCCTGCCGGCTCCTCCTCCTCCTCCTCCTCGCCCGCGGCTCGCTCTCTCCCGGCGCGCTCCTGCCCCGCGCGCTGCCCGCAGAGGCCGCTCGCCGCCCCCGGCTCGACGTGGCGGGGGGGGGGGGCGCCGGCTCCTTCCCCGCGGGGCTGCGGGGGCGCCGCTCGGGACCTTGCGCAGCTGTGCGCAGCATTCCCTGCCACCCCCCGAGACTGCCCGGCTTGCCCGCCTCCGCCCGCGGCGGGGAGATGCGTGTCCCGCCGCGGGCGCTCGTCCCCAGGGCCCCCGGAGTCCTCGGGAGATGCTCCAGACACGCCGGCGGCGCCTGAGCCCCAAGCCACGGAGCCGCTGCGGCCGCGTCCATCTCCGGGAGAAGCAGGTCTTTCCTAGAGTGAAGAGGGCACTTGCCCTGTCCAGGCCGGGCCCCCTGAAAGACTTCTGCTGAGCAAGAAAGCGCCCAGAGCTGCGACCCTGGGCTGGGAGAGCCGGCGTGGCCTCGGCTCGGTCGCGCCTTCACGCCTGGCGAGGTGCCCCTGAGCCACCTCCGACTCAGAGACCCTTCCAGAGTGCCCTGCCCGCGGTAGCCCTGCTCGAAGTCCAGGCCGGGCTTCCCTGGGGTCACCCAGCTCCTCTTCGAGCCCCTTTGATTCGTCTGCGTATGTTTCCCCTCCGCCCGGCTCTCTTCTCCAGGCTTTATCTCCTGGCCTCGTTTTCTTCCCGCCAGCCTCCTTCGCCATCCAGCTTTGACGGTCCTGCGTCCTGATCGGGACACGACAGGCAGAGCTTGTGCTTCGCAGACCTTTGGCCCGGCTTGGTGTCTTTTCCGAGGCAGTTCAGGGGGGTTTGTGCTGAGAGAGTCCTCCCGGTGCTTGGGAATCCACGCTGCTTTGCCAGCCAGCTTTGCCTTCGCCCCTCGCCCGCCACCCGGAGCTCCTGGGGGCCACGCCATAGTGGGGCCGTCCTGCCTTCGCCTTGAGCTCTTGGGAAACTGGGCAGCCCCCCAAGCCCTCCTGCCCTCTCGCGTCTTCCACTTGCCTTTGGCAATTGGAATAAATTGCAGAGATTCTGATGAAACGACAGAGACTTTTTTGCATGTTTCTCTCGCCTTTATACTCCAGTGTCTCCTGCACATCTGCGGTTCTGCCAGCATCTTAAACCCTGGGAAGGGGAGGTTTGCTTTCTAGATCTCTGGTCTTGCAGCCTATCATGGCTCTTCGAATTGCAAGTTACTGAGTTTTTAAGATTGTCATTAGGGTTTGTTTTCTCTGATCAATCTTTTTTTTTAAAGTCCAGCACAGATTCTTTCCCAGCTGCACAACAGGCAGAAATTCAACTGCCCGCCCCCCAGCCCAGATCTCCATGACAAGCTTTACTCTTTGCCTGCGAGGTGGCCCTATAGGAACAGGCCTCTGGGGAGAGGAAACAGGGTTTTTAAAGCTGCTACATTAAAATGGGCATTTATGAAGACCTTAACCCTGAGAAAGCGATTTCTTCTGAGCCTCATTTCCCTTCTCCCCTTTGAGGCACAAATATGTTTGGGGAATAATAGCACAGAGCTACCTTACAGGGTTGTTGTATTTGTAGATGAATAATGCACACAAAGAACTGTGAACTTGAGAGCACCAATGCTCTGTGCTGTTATTTTTGGCTCTGCACTGCCTCTGGCCTATAAAATCAAGCATGGGGCAAAGAAGCCATCCTTCCTGGGACCAGCAAACTTGGGGGAGGAATCAAAGGTCAGTCGGGCCTGAATTAATCTTTAACCCCAAGTATGTGAAGTTCGTCTCGGCCAGGGAATGGCTCTGCAGCTCCTCCTCACCACAGAGCCACCCCGATTCCTCCCTGCCCCACCACCACGTTTTCATAATGGATGCACGGGTGTTTTAGGGTTAATAATAATAATAATAATAATAATAATAATAATAATAATAATAATTTTATTATAAAGACCCGAAGCAGCCTTCCCCAACCTGGTGCCCTCCGGGTGCAGTATGGGACTAGAACTCCCAGCAACATCAGCCAGCCTTTTCCAGTCCTGGAAGGCCGCCTCCCCCCGGGCCATTTCTCTGGCCCCATTCTGCACTGCCCTTTGCTGAAGCACATCAGGAGGGGAACCGCTTCCCGCTTCCTCCGGAGTAAATGCCATGCCAAATAGACCCCAGAGAAGGCGGGGGGCTCCGCATCCATTGGCAAGCCCTCTGGGGAGCCCGCAAAGGTGGGATGCAAGTTCAGTAAATAAGGTGGGCTTCTCAGTCTTGGGAGGCAGGTGGGGAGGGCAGGGCAAAAGAGGACGCCAGGCTGAAGAGGGGCTGGAAGTAGGGGGTCCCTGGCCCAGCATCCCTTTTGAGGATGCCGTCCTTGAGCAGTGGAGTAATGCGGGTGTGTCTCTTTACAAGGTGGTGCATCCAGATGTGCTGGGATGCAACCCTGCCGGCCGAGGATGCTAGCAGTTGCGGTCCTGCACATCTGGACAGCACCAGGTTGGAAGGAGGCTGGCGCGGCTCGTGGCTGCCCACGCCTCGGGTGGCCTTCCTGGGTGGAAGCCCTGTGAACGGAGATGGAATATTTGGTTTTCTTGTTCTGTTTTGAATGTATGGATTCTTGATAGCACTTAGGACATTTTACCCTATATTATTGTATGGTATTATTGTAAACTGCACAGAAAGCTTCAGCTATTGGGTATAGAAATGGCATAGAAATGAAAACTAGAAATAACAACAGGCAATTCTCCACGCAAGCGTGTCCTGTAATGTCCAGAATGGCCACAAGATGCCGGTGTTGCCCTTGGAAGGCGGTCCAGCCCACGAGCCGGATCAAACCCACAAAATGCGTAGCAGGGTATTGTCCAGAAGTCGATATCCTGCGGTAGCATCCCGTTTGCTCGGGAATTGCAGGGGTGTATTCAGCAGACCTGCGTGGTGCCAACGACCCAAACACTTGGCCAACTGAGGCACAGACCACACAACTCAAGGTCTGTATAATGGAGCACACCTGATGGAGGAATTTGGCTGTTTTAAAGGGCTAGATTTTCCCAGCCTAGCTTGAGGGTATTTTGATTTATCACATCCCCTCCATCACTACCACAGGGCTATGGAGAGACTTAGTTAAGTGAATTTTCAGTTGTTAAATGTTTCTATTTTCTGTGAATAGCAATGCAGGAGGCCGGCAAAGAAACCGCAACTTGAGAGGCTGAGCAACCTGGTAAGCTGGCTGGGAATGTTAGCATGTAAAGTCCAAAATATCTGGAGGGCACCAGGCTGGGGAAAGCTGCACCCCGGATCTGTTTTGTTCTGGCAAGCTTGGGAATGTGGATGCTCACCAGGACGGTCCCGAGAGCCTCCAACCACAGGCCGGAAATTGCAGCCAGCTCCATGGACCTGTCTGAGCCATTTTTGCCCAGCGAGGGTGCGAATTGTACCCGATTACAGAGGGCGGAGGGAATTCTGAAAGGGGCGGCAGGTGATGCCATGGCGATGCAGAATCGCAGGTACGGCGTCCTGCATATTCAGGTTCTGCTGCACCACTATGGAAGATGCCTCCCCATCCCTCACCTGTGGGGCAAGGGATTTGCTCGGACATCCGTCGCCGCCTTTTTCCACGCCACTGCTGGGGGAGGGGGAGAGAGGATCTTGGCTCCTTCCTTGCTCCGGGCTGACTGCAATACAGACATGTGGAAAGGGCCCCCGCTTGCCAAGTTACGGCTCGGAGGAGGGGAGGGGGGATATGAATGCAAGCAAGCGCTGGCGGCAGGGGGCAGGGGGTGGGAGCCAGGACAAGCTGTCCCCTGGCGGCCACAATGTCCGCCTGCTGCATCCCCAAATTTAGGCTCATGGAATGTTTCTGTTGTTCTAATCTTAGCTCTGTGGAGACTGGCGCAGCCGGACCTGTGCAGCCCATCACAGCAGATGCGGGGAGGGGCCGACCCCCAGCGGGGGCTGAGCAGGCCCGTGTGCAGCCCCTCGGACCGTCTAGCAGGAGCACAGGCACTGGATTTGGGCGGACCTTCTCACAGGAACCTCGGACGTCTCGTTTCCCTCCGTGGTTATGTAACTCGTCTTGCAGCTGTGCCGCTCCTGTCCTTTCCTCCTCCTCAGCAGATCGGTCCAGTTCAGCAGCCAAATACTGATACAGGCACGGAGCCCCCTAAACTGGCTTGGGGATCCCCAGATGCTAGGGAATGCTGCATGGTGATGCCAGGGCACACTGTGCATGCTCAGAGGCACTCTTGGAATGGAAGACCACTTCCAGGGCTGAGCCTGGTTCCTCAAGTCAGGGTTTGGTGTCCTGGGTTCCATGGGGTGCTTGGAGGACCCTGGGAACACCTCAGGGGGATATTTGGCCCCGTGTGGGTGAACCTCTCTAATGGGGCAGGCTCAGCTGAACAACGTACAGGTGGATGCATGGAAGGTCCCACCTGCCAGCCTCTCCAGTCACTTTTGGGGGGAGGGGGAAGAACCTGTTGCTTCCCCCCAGTATCTCTTCATTGGACTGCCTCTGCCCTTTGGAGCGCCCCTCTGGGAAGCCTGCTTGGCCACCCCGACTCCTCTCTGCCAGGTTTACCCATTTCCAGAATGAATTTCCGCCATTTCTCAAGGGCACTGACCCGCCGCCCTTGCCTCGCGCCCTGTTCCCCAACCCGGCGCCCGCCAGATGTGCCAGACTAGCGCTCCCATCACAAGGCCGTTGACTTGCAGTCTCGCACCCGCGGAAGGCGCCCGACCGGCGTTGCCCCCCCCCCCCCCGACACTGCGACCTTTCCCCTTAGTTTCCACGCTGCCCCCGCGCCTCCTCCCCCGGTGCCTGGGCAAGGCGGTCGGCCCGGCGGCGATCCGCGGGAGGCAGACGGGGCTCGGTCGAGCGCCTTCCGGAGGCGGCCGTGCCCCGCGGGTCCCGGCGCGCCCCCCGCTCGGCCGCCCGCGCCGGGCCACGGCAGAGTTCCCCGAGGCGCCCGCCTCTGGCCGCGAAGGGGTTAAGGGGGAGGTCGGCCCGTCCCTGGGACCTTTAAATGGGCATCGGCCGGCTCGACGCGGCGGCTGCAGGCCGGGCACGGGCTGGGCTGGGCTGGGCCGGGTGGGGCTTCCGGGGCGGTC